TGAGCTGCGCTGCAAAGCAGCGGGGACCCGGGGCGGAGAGAGGCGGGGACCCGGGGCGGAGAGAGGCGGGGACCCGGGGCAGGGAGAGGCGGGGGACCCGGAGCAGGCCGAGGCTCTGGCAGTGACGTCATAGAATGGCCTCCTTCCTCCTCCCCCCACCCCGCGAGCGCGCCCGGCCAGTTGTCGCCCCCTCAGTGGTAGAAGTAGCGAAGCTGGCTGGTCTGAAGAGTGAGGTGGCGCTAAATCTAGAGTCCCCGGCAACCGGTTCTGGGATTCGAGGCCCGGACAGGTTGGCACCCCAGCCGGCTCTCAGTGATCCCGAGACTGCCGCCGACTGCTGTGTAGGTGTCCTTGACGTCACCCCGTGGGTGAGGGTCCGCGTGCGGGTTCTGGTGGCCGTGCTACCGTATAGGAACCACCGGACTGCGTACGCGAAGGCTGGGCTGTGCAGTGGCTGCGCTGTGTGCAGCAGGTGCCCTGGGCGGGGCGGAGAGCTGGGCTCACAACGCCACTCGGCGGCGGCCACCAGCGTGGCATCCCACAGGGAAAGCTGCGTTTGTTTAGGATACAGATTTACCATCTATTTGGCCCGCTCTACCCTATTCTCCGACACGCCCGACCCAGAGATCCCGCATCCTGGCCGGGGTCCTCACAACCCTCTGGGGCCCTGAATTTTCTTCCTATCAAGTCTTCCCTTTTGTACTTTTGATGCTGAGATTGCTTCCTCCAGGAACAACCTTCTTCATTCTTCTCCTGGCTTACCCTTAAATCTTCCAGAACTCAGCTCTGGTGTCCTCCAGAACTGGCTCCAGGACATGATTCTGTCTTTTATCCCCAGAACCTCAGCGTCTGAAGGCTTCGTTGGGTAGCTCGGCTCTGCCGGGCCTGCTTTCAGCGGACGGACCAGCGGATTTCCAGCAGGGGGCGCGAGAGACTCCACAACATTTCACTTTGTCCACCTGGGGGCGCTGCCACCCGCCTCTGGTCGTCCGGAGAGGACAGCCCGACCCCCGGATGAGCCCCGCCTGATTGGGAGAGGCATAGTGAAACTATTTGCATAATCTTGAAAGGGCCGCGCTAAGTGGTTGGGATATTGAAGCTGTATGTGAAACGGGCTCTCTCATTGGCTTAAAATTTCCCCTCGCTTTGCGTGCGCATCGCCGCCAGACTGGACTCGGAGGTCAGTCTGAAGCCGCAGGCAAGTGGCGAGAGACGACCCAGGTGTCCAGGGAGTGGGCGCCGTGGGGCGAGTGCCGGGCCGGGGTGCGGGGGGCCAGAATAGGAGACTATTCGCCCCTCACTGACTCCACCTCGCTTGGCATTGGTCTGTCTGGTAGTTGGACATAGGCATCTAGAAAGGCGCATCTGGAGACATATCTGGCACTAGGACCCCCTGCCACCTGCATCTCCACCCAACCACCGAGGTCCTGGTAACCGTGGCCCCATCCACGCTGCCTTGAGGTAAGAAAAAGAGTCTTCTCAGATGCAACTTCTGACCTCCCGGGGTAGCCCTCTCAAGGCCTCTAAAGAGCTTATTTGCCCCTCTGGAAAGTAGACCTGTGGCTTGGGGTGCCAGGGTGGACCCTGGAAGCCTGCTCACACGGAGGGTGCTTCTTTCTCAAAAGTAGGGCCCCAGGCTCGGAGCAGCATGGGCACCGAGAATGAAAGCCCAGAGCCAGATTGCCAGAAACAATTCCAGGCTGCAGTCAGCGTCATTCAGAACCTGCCTAAGAACGGTGAGGCCATGGGGACCCCATTTGGGGTTCAGGACGGCTGGGGTCTTACTCAAAGGAGGAAGCAGGCCTGCAGTTTTTGCAGACAAGTCTCTGCCTGGGCTGTCCTGGGGGTCCCCTCTGCTTCTTGCCCCTGTTCAGATGCCCTCCCTGAGTGGGATCCCCTACCATCTCTGCCCTCTCCAAGTATGGTTCTCCCCCCTTTTCATCCTCTTGGAGCTGGGGGTGATGCTCTGCCCTCCACTTCCCAACTCCCTGCCCAGGCTCTTACCGCCCCTCGTACGAAGAGATGCTGCGATTCTACAGCTACTACAAGCAGGCTACCATGGGGCCCTGCCTGGTCCCCCGGCCTGGGTTCTGGGACCCCATTGGACGATATAAGTGGTGAGCTCCCCACTGGCGGGCAAACAAGCCTCAGCTGTCAACCAGCCCTCTCACAGCCCTCTGCCCCCAGGGACGCCTGGAACAGCCTGGGCAAGATGAGCAGGGAGGAGGCTATGACCGCCTACATCACTGAGATGAAACTGGTGGCACAGAAGGTAGGGAAGGGCTGAGGGTTCTCTGTCCCCGAGCGTCCAGCCAAGTGGCTTGCCCCCCACCCTTCCAGTTCTGACCTCTGTTATGTTTCCTACACATTGACACCCCTGTGAGAATCACAACCTTCATGTTGCCCCCCAATCCTGCCTGTTTCTGGTCCCTGACTGGGCACAAGGTGAGGTATATGACAGGGCAGGAGCTCGGTGGAGGGGCCCAGCATGAGGGGCAGTGGTGGGAGGGGCCAGCCCCTCCCCAGTAGTCCTCCTTCCCCACAGGTGATCGACACAGTACCCTTGGGTGAGGTGGCAGAGGACATGTTTGATTACTTCGAGCCCCTGTACCGGGTGATTCCTGACATGCCAAGGCCCCCTGAAGCCTTCCTGAGAAGGGTCACAGGTAAGGCCTCTGGGTGGAAGCTCCACAAGTGCTAAGTAACTGTCTGAGGTCTAGGCTGAGGGGGCTGCTCAGTTGCAGGAGGGCTGGGGGCAGAGGGCTCCAGATGATGTCCCTGTAAGAACCCCAGCCAGTGCCCCTAATGGGGTGGGTCTCAGGGTCATGGCTAATGGGGAGTAGGGACCTGATCTCACTGGGAGGTACCAGCCTCTTCCTAGCCACACCTCTGGGTGCTGTGTCTTGGCAGGTTGGAAAGGGCAGGTACTGAATGGAGATGTTCAGGCTGTCCCAGAGCCTCCCTCCCTTCCCAAGGAGCCAGCACCCCCAAGCCCAGGTTAGTGCTTGGCCAAGAGAACAAAGGACCAAATCCAGGCTGGTGGGCGTGGGGTGGGGATCTACAGGAAGAGTGGAGGGGAGAAGGCCGGATGCCACACTGTGCCCTGAGACCTGCTGTGCTCCCGAAGGCCAGGGGGCAGGTTCTAGGATCCCTGCTCCAGGGCCTCACTTTTGGGGCCCATCTGTGCCTGCCGTGGCACTATCTCTGGTGTCTCCTGAGCAGGTACCTCGGCCCAGCTGCATACCTCTCTCCTCCATCCACAGCCTCCCTCTTGTTGATAACCCTACCTAACCCCTCCCCAGAGTCCCAGCCACCCAGGGACCTGGACTCTGAGGTTTTCTGTGATTCCCTGGAGCAGCTGGAGTCTGAGCTGGTGAGACCACCCCCCCATTTCCTCCCCTTCCCCACCTCACTGAGCCCTGGGTGTTCCCACCCCCACCCTTAGATCTGTGACTCACTGCAGCAGGTTTGGACAGAGCAGAGTGGAGCACCTAGAGGAGAGTCTGACACCAGAAACAGCCCTGTGTCCTCCAGAGAGAAAGGTGAGCTCCTGCCCGACACTTCACCCTCTTCTGTCCTTCCCCATGGTTCTGGTGCCCTGGGCCTTCCCTTGGCTGCCCTCTGAGGGCAGAGGTGAAAGTCTGGTGCTGAGCGCTGGAGAGAACAGCCAAACTGCCAAACACCTGTCTGGATTGGCAAAGTCCCTGTCCTGCCTCCTGTCCCTCTGCAGGTGCTGAGTAAGGGCAGCTGGGATGGGAATCTTCTCCCAGCTCTCTCACCTACAGCTGCATGGCCTTGGGAAATCATCCTCTCTCTCTGGGCCTCCCATTTGGGAATCTCAAAGGACAACAGTGACTTCTGCCCTGTTCCCTTCTAGAACTTCCTGTGTGTCAAGTCCCATAAGGGGCACGTTCATAAATAGCATCTTCTGTATTCCTCTAAGCAAGCAGCCCTGTGAGGGAGATGACATCTTCCCCTAATTTTCAGATGACAAAATGAGGCTCAGAGAAGTTACTGATTTGCCCAAAGTAAAACAGCTAAAAAGTGGCAGTGTTGGTATTCAAACCCCAGCAGCCCATTACTCAGCCATGCGGATGGACTTTCCAAGAGTCACACTTGGTACAAGGGATTGTGCTGTGCTCCTCCACTTCCCTGGACCTGCCCCGGCCTGCCCCCATGCTCCTGAGGCTGAATTACCTCCTGAGTGCCCTCCCCTATGTGTCTGCTCCACAGAGGGGTTGGGGGGTAGCCTGCTGGGGCCACAGGAATTGGACACGTGGCTGGTGGGGACAGTTCGGGCACTGCAGGAGAGCATGCGAGATGTGCAGGGAAGACTGCAGAGCCTGGAGAGCATGTCCCAGCCCCCTAAGCAGGTGAGTCCCCTGCTCCCCATTTCAAGGGCTGCAGCAAGATTGGGGCAGAACTCTGAGTGTCTCTATTCTGGGCTCCTCATCCAGCCACTTTTTCCTTGTCCCCATGCCTCCACCTGCCCACCTCCCTGTCCAGAGAATGGTGTGGCTTATGTTGCAGGCATGGAGGTTAGGGGTCTGAAAGGCTTCAGAATTACCTCCCTCTGCCTGAAGAGAAACCAAACAAAAGGACTGATCCCAAGAGTTGGAAGGGTCATGCAAAGGTCTGCTCTTTGTATTGGGACTTGGCGTCCCTGTTGTCCCTCAGTCAGGACTTCTGCAGCCGTTAACCCCCTGCCCACCCCAACTCCTAAATCTGCTTGCCCTTTACTCTTCAGCTCCTGGGCTCCTGAAAACCAAATAACAGCTGCCATTTCTGGAGCCCCAGCTGTGTGCCAAGCACTTACTGGAATTCTCTCATTTAATCTACACAACGACCCTATGAAATAGGTTTTTTTTCATCTCCCTTTTACAGATGAGGAAACTAAGGCTTTGAGAGACTGAGTAACTTGCCTGAAGAGCACACAGCCTGGGAGAACCTAACTGAGTTGCTCTGAGGATTAGATAATGCATATAGGTGCTTCCACAGTGCCCAACACACAGGAAGGCCTTCACAAATAGGGTTGTTACTATTACTATTATTATTAATAAGTGATGGCGCTGGGACTGGCTGAGTCTGTCTCCCCACTGTGCTGGTACCCACCATTAACTGAGTGGGTCTGTTCCTGAGAAGCCTGGGGTGGTGGGTGCAGGAGAGGGCTGAGTTGCTGGATGTGGGGGATCTCAGGGTGACCCCTAACCTGATCAGCACAGTGGACATGAGCCGTGGTGGAAGGGATTTCCTCAGATACACAATGGATAACTTTTTAAAACCATCCCCTCTCCTCCTACAGGGCTTTACTTTTTTTTTTAACCTTTTACTAATTTTTTTTTTTTTTAATAAAGATGAGCGGTAAGGGGATCTTAACCCTTGACTTGGTGTTGTCAGCACCACGCTCTCCCAAGTGAGCTAACCGGCCATCTCTATATGGGGATCCGAACCCGTGGCCTTGGTGTTATTAGCACCGCACTCTCCCGAGTAAGCCACGGGCCGGCCCAACTTTTACTAATTTTAAATGCTAAAGATTTTTAAGTACATTACACACATCATGGTGTTCTACCCTGAAATATTTGGGTTTACATCTCTCAAAATAAGAACATTCTACTATCTAGCCAAAAACGTTTTATCACACACCATTATTAATTCCTTAATATCATCAAATATCCATTCCAAATATAGATTTCCCCCCTTGTCCTGAAATTGCCTTTTCTAACTGCTCTGTGCAGCTTGGGACTACACAGTGCATCTGGTTCCTCTGTCCTTTAAGTCTCTTTAATTTAGACCAGTCCTTTTCCTTGCTGCTGGCTTGCTGACCAGACTGAGCCAGTGGTTCTGTAGAATGTTCCACCTTTTGAGTCTGATTACATCCTCTGTGTTAGTTCCTTTTTAAAATTGTATTTCCTGTAAACTGGAAGTTAGATCTAAGGACTAGAGTGAAGTTAAATATATTAGACCAGATTACACCAGAGGTAATGTTCTTCACATCAGGGGACATATGATATCTGGATGTCCCAACATTTGGGATTCTAGCATGGACTGCTGGCATGGATGAAGGGGTGACAGCCTGATCCACCATTGCAAAGTCATGATTTCCTCTTGCAGCCAGGGAATATCCGGTTCCCCATCAACCCCATTTGTCACAGTTTTTTTTTTTTTTTTAAAAAGATGACCGGTAAGGGGATCTTAACCCTTGACTTGGTGTTGTCAGCACCACGCTCACCCAGCGAGCCAACCGGCCATCCCTATATGGGATCCGAACCCATGGCCTTGGTGTTATCAGCACCACACTCTCCCGAGTGAGCCATGGGCCGGCCCAGACAGTTTTTTTTTTATAAAGATGACCGGTAAGGGGATCTTAACCTTTGACTTTGTGTTGTCAGCACCACGTTCACCCAATGAGCTAACCGGCCATCCCTATATGGGATCCGAACCCATGGCCTTGGTGTTATCAGCACCACACTCTCCCAAGTGAGCCACGGGCCGGCCCTGTCAGACAGTTTTTAACAATTGATAATCTCTGTCTGAATTGATAATTTATTTAGTAGTTGCAAAAAAATATTGACTTTTAAATTCTATCCTTTAACATTTAAGCTATCATTTCTCTGTAGTTTCCCTGAAAGATGGTGCCTCATGGAAAGGTAGGGTATGTGCTTAATTCTTTCTTTTTAATTATTTATTTTTAAAGTAAGGAGTTGATTTAAAAGCTGCCTCAATGGTGACAAATTTCTTTTCTTTTTGAGTATCATTACGGACTCATGGATTTTAAAGAGTCAGTGTTCTAATCAACTGCAATCATCATTCTTTTGGATCTCAGACTGTTAGAACTTTGGCCAGTGGAGACCCTTTCAAGTAGGGTCCTGTGTTCTTTTAACATGTCCTCATTATTCTTAAAAAGCTATTGTTTCTAGTACCAGATGTCCCACATTCACCCCTACCTTCCCTGCCCCAGACCTGGAATCATTCACTTCCTCAATGAGCCCTGGCTCCTGGTGGAGAATGATATTTAGAAACTAAAATCTGAGTACCCAGGATCCTCACTTGAAATATGTGGCACATCCTTTACAGTATAGGGTCTTCAGTCCATACCAACAGGGTCGTCACTATGTGGCTCAGAGAAGACAGCCCTGGAAGCACTTCCAGCCTCTCATAGCACCTTGGATTGCCCTGGTGAGGAAGATGTGAGAGGGAGTTGGAGTTCAATGCATCAGGGACACACTGGAGGCCACTTTCTTCTAGTGGTGCAGACCTGGGAGTAGAGTCTTCACAATCTTGGGGAGGCAACGCTCCCACTGAGTTCTGAGGCGGGTTCCTCAGAAGGGCTGGGCTGATGGGCCAGCCCGGTGGCGCACTGCTACAGTGCGCCGCTTGAGAGTGCGGCGGCCTCCCGCCGAGGGTTCGGATCCCACATACAGACCCGTTCCCGCTCACTGGCTGAGCAAGGTGTGGACGCAACACCGAGGGTTGCGATCCCGTTGCCAGTCCCGGTCCCGTAGGGCGCGACACTGAGGGTTGCGATCTGTTGCCGGACACGAAAAAAGACAAAAAGGAGAAAAAAAAAAAAAAAAAAAAAAGGGCTGGGCTGAGACCTGGTACTCCCTCTCTCTTGGCAGCAGGGGCCGCAGCCCAGTGCTCGGCCTTGGCCCCTCAGGCTCTCCGGTCCCACGCTGCTCTTCTTCTTCCTGTGGCCCTTCTTCGTCCAGTGGCTCTTCCGACAGTTTCGGACTCAGAAGAGGTGACTCTCGAGGGAGGGGTCTCTGCAGCCAGCTGAGGAGGCTGTGAGCCCCTGTCCTGCTGTGCCCTGAGTCTTCCTAGGGTTTAGGAGAAGAACAGCGTTAAAAATCCCCCTCCCATCACTGTTTGCCTTGGCACCCCTTCCCTCATGGGGGGCCAGATAAGACCCCACCCTTCCGTCAAGCTTCACAAGGACGCTTCCTCCTCACCTCCCCAGCCAGCGCAGGCTCCCCTGAGAGGCAGCAGTGTGGTGCTAAGACCCGGTTCAGGGGTGGCCGCGAGGCGGGGCGGGAGCAGCGGGGTGTCGGCCCCTGCCCTCCCCACCCTCCGGCTCGCCTGAGTCTCCTCCTACCTACCCTGACTTCTCCCCTTCTCCCCGAGGAGGCTCCGCTCCCGGGCAAGTTAGGACTTGGGCCGGGGCCTGGAAGCGTGGTTGGCTGGGAGGCCAGGAGGGAGGCCAGGAGGCCCGGACACCGCGGGAGGAGTGAGCAGGCCCCGGCGGCAGGGGGTGAGCGCCGATTTCGCTCGCTTCCCTCCCCAGTCGCCCGTCGTCCCCCCCGCACGCTCAGGACGTCTTCGCTGAAGATTCACTTACAAATGAATGTTTCACTAAATAAAAGAAAACCTTAATCTGCCGTCTGACCCCCACGGAGGGAGCGGGAAGCGGGGCCGGGGCGCGCGAGGCAAGAGTCACTTTCCTGCTCCCTCCCCCAGCGCCCCGTGGACGGCCCCGAGAGGCCAGCAGTTGGTGTTTTTGAATGAAGAATATTTTCCCTCCTCCCCAGGCAAACGTGAGGAAAACAGGCCTCGGTCTGCAGGGAAGGCGGTGGGGGAGGGGAGCTGGGGGACTCCGGAGGGCGGGGCCGCTGGGGGAGGCCAAGCGCGCGGCGCCGCCCTCCCGCCCGTCGGGGACTCGCGTCCCCTCTTGCTGGGGGGTGGTGGGGAGGACTGGAGCGTGGCGGGGGCAGGGGCGTTGGTTCGGTCCCCGCCCGAAGGGGAGGACAGCTGCTCCGCGTCCTGGGCGTAGGTAAGGGAGGACCCCGGCCCCGGAAGTGCCCGAGGTCCCCTTCTCAGCTGCTCGTTCCTGGTGCCCCCCCCCCCCGCCGTCCCCTGACCTCTTCGCTCGGGTCTGCCTAGGGAACTTTCTAGAAGGCCCAAGCCCAGCGAAAGCATAGTACCCTCACCGCCCTGACTGGGGGTCGGGGCTGTGCGTGGACGGAGCCCCGTCGGGGTGGGCCGAGCGCCCGCGTGTGTGCAGATCCGCTTGGCTTCCGAAAATTTTCTCACCGCCCGACGCCTTTGGCCTCCAACCCTGACGGCCCCTCCAGGCCACCCTGGCTCGAGGCACGGGCCGTATTTGACGGCGGAACTGGCCACTCTGAGCGCCTCCTGGTGCCCCGCCCCTGCGAGACCACCGGCAACGGTCCCTAGCCGCGGAGAGTCACAGCAGCCTTGAGCCTCCTGGCAGCTGCCAACACCTGGGTCCCAGGACCTTCCTGCTCCCAGACGAGGGAGAGGAAGTTCTGAAAGGCCTCTGGCTGGAGACCCTTAAACTCTAAGTTCCCTCCGTCAGCCCCTGGCCTTGACCACGCCCCAGGCTTGCCCATTAATGGCTCCACTGGCAGCTGCAGTCTTTTGTCAGCCCTCTCAAGGTGGGGACAGACATTTCAGGGGCCCTGCTGCTCCACAGGGCCCAGCCCAGGGTCATAAGCAGAGGGGCTGAATAAACCCCTTGTAAGGATGGACAACAGCAGGGCAGTAGGAAAGGGACCAAATTGGTGCCCGGATGCAGGCGTGTGGCTGAAGCCAGCCCCACCGCTTGCACACTAGCTGTGTGGACTTGGGCATTCTTAACTGCTCTGAGCCTTGTTGGTGAAATTGGGATGACCTCTTTATCCTCAGGCAGTCCTGCGGTTGAACAATGACTGGCACATGTAAAAATGCCTGGCAACGGGTCAGAACTCAGGTAATTTTAAGGTGCCTGGCCCCTGTTTGATAGAATTCTAGAATTCACAATCTATCAGTCTGGCCAACCCTCCCCCAATATGACAAATGAGACCCTATAGCTGAGCCCTGTCAAGTAAACTGAGGTTGGGTTCAGCTATACCTTCCAAATCCCTGAGTGGGAGTACCTAAGAGTCCTCTGGAGTGTGAAAATGTGGTAACAATTTGGAGGTCTCTGACTGTTGCAGTCAAGATGTCTGCACAAACCCTCTTCCTCGGGGAGCTCCCATTGTGAGGGGCAGTTTTTGTTCTCAGGGAGCCTCCTGAGTGATAGATACAGAAACACAAAGGAGGGTAGGCTTTTCAGATAAACCCGAGTTCTTGGAAGTCCATGGAAAAACAAGCTGGGATAGTCATTTTCAAAACCCCAGGGCCCAGGAGCACTCCTACTTGCCTCGCCTGACTCAGGTGGTCGGCGCTGGACATGCCCATCCCCATTGCTCCAACATGCACCCTCCACTGCCCCACGCACCACTCTTGAGTTCCCAGACAAGTCCTTTCTTTGCCTGTTCTTCAACCAATGCTCTCCTTCATGTCACTTTGCCTGAAAACTCTTTGTCCTTCAGAGCCAGCCAAGAAGTCGCCTCCTCCATGACACCTGTCCACAATTGCCAGCATCCAAGCAGCTTGGCTCACAAGCTCCTGTCGGATTGCATTCACTTGCCTTGTTGGCTCACTGTGGTTTGATAGCCTCTCCGCACAGTCCATGAGCAACCTGAAGGGAAGGACATTTTACTCATCTTTGTGCCCTCCTAACAAATGTTTGCCAAGTGAAGAAATAAGGGCCTGAATTAGGTTGAAGCTGTTGGGAATAAAAAAGACTAAATCCAGAGTTCTTGAGAAAAAAAGGGGGTTTTGTGTTGGTGACAAAGAGAAAAATGGCATGGGAGTTACACAGACCCATGCTCTAACCAGAACTGTCGCTTACCTGTCATGTGACCTTGGGCAAGTCACTTAATTTCTCTGAATCTAAAATTGGAGACAATAATCTCTAACCTGCATACCTCACTGAGCTGTGGTGAGGTCATACGGTAGTGTGTAAAAGAACATTATACAGTGCAAATTGGTTGGAATGTAAGGGATTGTTATTAAGGAAGAAATAATAAGAATGGGTCACTGACTGGGCGTGTGGCAAGAAGCAAACGTGGAAATTACGCCAAGATTTTAGGATGAGAAATTACGCCAAGATTTTAGTGATGAGAGTGGAATGGGTTCTCTGGGTCCTCTCAATCGTCCTTTGGGTTGGGATTTGAGGTCTGGAGAACTGCTCTCGAGAGAGAATATGGCCCCGCATGACTACCCCACAGTCCTGGGCCAGAACCCCCACCTCCATGTCAGGGCAAGGCCTCCTCCTCCCTGGGGTGGCCTCTGGCTCCGCTTCGCTCCCAGTCTTGCCGGGAGCCCTGATGAGGAAAGGCCTCTGTGGATGATCCGCCCTTCCTTGTCGGACAGCCGGGATCGATCATTTATACTCATTACTAACTTCGAACCCCTTCCTAGCAAACAGGCTCACTGGCTATCCCGGACTCCCCTGTCCCACCCAACTCAGGAAATATTCCCGGTCAGAAGTAAGGACACCAACGTCGGCGGGGAGGCCATTTTCTTCGACAGAAGCTGAGGCCGGGCGAGAGGCCTTCACCCCCCCAACCCCCCTCTCCCCCGGCTCGGTCGGGAATCAGTTTGCATCAGCCCCTGGAGGGGGAGGCGACTCTCGGAAACCATGCTGGGGCTGGGACTCGGCCACCATCACCCAAGGGTCCCGAGGCTAGTCCAGTTCGACGTCTCCCGGGACTCCAACCACCCTCTCGTCATCCGAGGCCCGCTCCGGGGCTGCTGTACTAGACGCAGCCACACTGTCGCTTTAAGGCGGCACGTTTTATTCTTCATTTGTTTACTTCTTCATGCGCTTTTCGTAATTTTACAAAAATATGTTCACAATATCCTTCCGCAAATGTCAGTCTCAGGCACTAACCATACGCCCTAAAGCCATTAGTGTAATCTTAAGAATCCAAGGGTAGTCGCGGTGGGCCAGCATCTCTTTTTATAGGATTTAATCCTCCTTTACACTTTAGGGACTACTTTTCAGGAATAAACCATTTTTGCTTTCGTTAACAAATGTTCTTAACCTTCAGAATCCTTCCGCTAAGGACAGAATACCAAAATAGCCCTTAAAACGAACCTTTTCATAAAAGTATTCTGTGTGGACTCTGAAAGGCCATAGAATCTTCTCGCATTCCTGAAGTAGAATGGTATGGCCCAGAACCCGCCCCATCTTCTCTGCAATTGGCCTTCCTTCCTCAGCGAGTCGTGCTACTCTTGACCAATGGCTGCTCACGTTTCTAGAGCGAGGGATAAGCGATGGAAGGAGACAGCCTGGGAGACGCCCCCTACGCGTTCTGGGATTGGTTACGTCGCACGGCGCGCGAGGACGGCGGGCATGAAAGATGGGGACTACGAGTCCCGACTTTCCCTGATGGGGACTCCGTTAGGCATGCGCATGGGCGGGGCAAACAGGCTTCTATATAAAAGGGGTGCAGCGGGCTGGGAGGCAGCAGTTGGAAGTTGGCAGGTGGAGAGGCAGGTTGGGAGGGGAAGTTGGGGGAAGAGGCGGAAGAGGAGCTGTCGGAAGGGGGAGGAGGGGAGGAAAAGAGGAGGAGGTGGAGAACTGAGCAGAGCAGAGCATCGAGCCAAAGGGGAGATGAGTTTGTCTGTCCTCGGCTGAGGCTCCGGCCGGGCCTAGGGAACTGGGAGCTCGGGTTGGAGCGACACCCGTGGAAGTGGGAGGAGATGGCTCTGGGACTTTAACCCCTTGTGGGCTCTGCGGCAGGGGATTTAACCCTTTGTGGATCTGGCCCCTCTGAGGCAGCGTCATCGGGTAGTTTTAACCCTTTCGGGACTGGGTTAAACCCGTTGGACTTCATCTCCTTGCCCACCAACTCTTCGGTCTTGGGGGCGCACTGCGGGGAAGCTTGAGGCCCACTCCCTCCTCACACTGCGTATTGTTCTTGCTGCTGCACCCCCTTGGACTCACTAGCTGGACGCCTGTGGGCACTTAACCCTTTACTGACTTTAGCTCCCCAAGTTGCAATTGGAGTTTGCTGACAGAAGGACTAAAGGCATCAGTACAGGAATTACAGACCGAAGAAGACTTTGTTGGACTTTTTTTTTTTTTTTTTTAAAGAAAAGCCTTTTTTCCGTAAGGACTTATAGCCAAAATTCTTCAAACTTCGAGAACTCTACCAGCATGGCCGAGCCACTCTTGTCAGAATATCAACACCAGCCTCAAACTAGCAACTGTACAGGTGCTGCTGTTGTCCATGAAGAACGGAACCCTGAGCGCCCCCCAGGCGCAGAGGAGCGGGTGCCCGAGGAGGACAGTAGGTGGCAATCGAGAGCGTCCCCCCAGTCGAGTGGCCGTCCGGAGACGGAGGGGGAAGGGAGCCTGGAACCCCAGCCGCCTCCCCTGCAGACCCAGGCCTCTCCAAAACCTAGCTGCCTGGAAGCGAGCGAAAAAGGCCAGAATGGGGACGACTTGTCCGCTGGAGGCTCCTCTCCGCCGGCGGCTGGAGGGGAACCGAAGCCCGAAGCAGAGCTGCTCGCCCAGCCGTGCCATGACTCCGAGGCCAACAAGTTGGGGGCTCCTGCCGCAAGGAGCGAGGAGGCGTGGGGACAGCAGCAGAGACAACTGGGCAAGAAAAAACATAGGAGACGCCCTTCCAAGAAGAAGCGGCATTGGAAACCGTACTACAAGCTAACCTGGGAGGAGAAGAAAAAGTTCGACGAGAAACAGAGCCTGCGAGCTTCGAGGATGCGAGCCGAGATGTTCGCCAAGGGTCAGCCTGTGGCGCCTTATAACACCACGCAGTTCCTCATGGATGATCACGACCAGGAGGAGCCGGATCTCAAAACCGGCCTCTACCCCAGGCGAGCCGCCGTCAAATCCGACGACACCAGCGATGAGGACTTTGTGGAAGAAGCGGGCGAGGAGGATGGGGGCAGCGACGGGATGGGAGGGGACGGCAGCGAGTTTCTGCAGCGGGACTTCTCGGAGACATACGAGCGGTACCACGCGGAGAGCCTGCAGAACATGAGCAAGCAGGAGCTCATCAAGGAGTACCTGGAGCTGGAGAAGTGCCTCTCGCGCATGGAGGACGAGAACAACCGACTGCGGCTGGAAAGCAAGCGGCTGGGCGGCGACGACGAGCGTGTGCGGGAGCTGGAGCTGGAGCTGGACCGGCTGCGCGCCGAGAACCTCCAGCTGCTGACCGAGAACGAACTGCACCGCCAGCAGGAGCGAGCGCCGCTTTCCAAGTTTGGAGACTAGACTGAAACTTTTGGGGGGAGGGGGCAAAGGGGACTTTTTACAGTGATGGAATGTATCATTATATACGTGTATATAAGACAGTGGACCTTTTTATGACACATAGTCAGAAGAGAAATTCCCTCCGGTTTTAGTTGGCTTCATAAATTTAGCTATGATGTAGGCTTTTGCGAGCTTTCTCCTGTTCTTTTATTATGTGAAACTGAAGGGTTGTTTTCTTTAGAAGTTTTTTTTTTTTTTTAAATGTGTAAGTACCTAGACCAAGTTATAATGCATTTTTCTGTTAAAAAAAAAAAAAAAATCCCCTTAAATGTGTAAGTACCTAGACCAAGTTATAATGCATTTTTCTGTTAAAAAAAAAAAAAAAAATCCCCTCCTTAAACGGAGCTAAAGGTGGCCAAATCTGAGAACCATTAAGTTCATTCTAGTTATAATAAATTTAATATTTGTAACATAGCTTCAGTGTGATTTCTAGAGCTAATTCAGAATAGTATTGACTTATTTTATGTGATTATATTTTGGGGGAAGGGTAACGAAGTAAATTTTGCCAGTTTGAAAAAAAAAAAGTCTGTAATGGGAGAATTTTCAATTTGCCTATTTTTTCCTTCAATGAGTTGTAGTATGTTACAATACACAGTTCAGGCAAAATATAGAGTTATCTTCAATACTTTAGTGTGCTTGCTTTCTAGTGCCTTGGTTTTCTTTCTTAATGCTGGAGAAGTAAATAAACTAATGCTGGGTGTTTTGGGGAGTGGAAAGTGGCTAACTCAGCTTAAATTTTAATTCTGCTTTTCACAGCCATTCAAAAGTCTACTAACAAAAATGTAAACCTAATTTAGCAGTTTGTTAGGTTAGACAACTGACAGCCTCATTTCGTTCCTACAGTGATTTTTAATAATCCATCTCCCTTCTTTCCCCCCAGTAAGGCTGGAAGAGTTCCTGGACACCTGGAAGAGGTTCATGGTGAACCTCTTGCATTCTTACTGCAAGCAATGATTAAATTAAATAAACTTGTGGGGCAGCTCTTTAAGATGTTTAGAGGTAGGGAATATTGAATTTATATAGAAAATGGCAGTCTAGGGGATTCCAAAGATTCACCCTAACTGTCCAATACTTATGTGCTCACTGTACAGAAAAAAAAAAAAAAAAAAAAAAAAAAAAAAAAAGGTGCTGCCCACCTTTCCATGTGGGTCAAACTAAAAGTAGAAATGCCCCCTCACTGCAAATCAAATGTAATACTTCTGGAGCTAAGTTAGGTCCTAGGGCTGGATGAGAGACTGTGCACATTCTCTGTATAGCTGCTATTCTCAATCTCCTAAACTACGCAGATAGTTGCTTAGGTTCTTGAGTAGTTGTGCTCTTGAGAACACAGGGAGGCTCTGACAACTAATTTCTGCCCCAAAATCAAAATAATAAGAAATTTAAGATTAATCCCTCTTGTCACTATGGTTAACCCAGTCCTTCACCTGCCCTGGGTCAGTGTTTCCCTAGAGCAATTACACTGCTCAAATCACTGGGGTCCCTTAACTTGGGGCCTTAGAAGCCACAGGGGGCCTTGGAGTTCATGAACCCCACGAAAGTATATGTAGACTTGTGATATATGTACATTTTTCTAAGGAGAGGGTTCAAGACACTCATGAGATTGCCAGTCCTTGAAGGTTAAAAACCCCTGCAGGGAAAGGGGAAGAAATGCCTCCCAACAGGAAGCTTGCTTTTGCAGCTAAATGGCAATAGTGGAGGTGGACCGAACTTCAAGTGTGAAATGCACCTTATGATGCATAAGAAGCATACACAAATGAATAATCAAGGGAAATTATGCCAGTGGGACTGAATCAGGGCCTTCACAGCTGGACTGAGCTGGTCCTCTTCTGGCACATGGTCCACTGGTGACAATGTATGATTGGTTTTTTCTTTGGCCTAAAAATTGAATTAAATGTTTATTTTGAAATAATTTTCCTCGTGTTTTTAATTTTTCTTCTGCTATGACGTCATGCAGTAGTCCCAGAAAAACGGGGCTTGGTGGGAAGGCAGCAACAGTGCCCTCTGGCTTCACAGTGCAGAGTGAAAGCCTCATTTTGGACTGCACTATGGGATGCAGCAGTGATAACCTCTTAATTTTTAGATTCTCTTCTTAAGAAGGATTTAATTATAAAGACCTTACTTCTATTTCCCCTACTATTAGAATAATGAAACTTCCAAAATGAATCTTGGAAAGATTATCTTAACTACTATCAGAAAAAAAGGATATGATTTAGTTTTAGGAGATAAATTCAGTACAGTCTTTAAAAATATACATATATTTAGTTTTAAGTAACTTTCATAAATTACTTCAGTTTACCCTGAGTTATACAAATTTGTCTGAATTGTGCTTTCAAAGGCACTGGCATTTTTTTTTTTTTTTTTGGACCGGTAAGGGGATTGCAACCCTTGGAACGGTGTGGTCTGAACCATGCTCAGCCAGTGAGTGCACCGGCCATCCCTATAAAGGATCCGAACCTGTGGCCTTGGCGCTACCAGCGCCGCACTCTCCTGAGAGAGCCACGGGGCTGGCCCTTTATTTTTCCTTTTTAAAGATGACCGGTAAGGGGATCTTAACCCTTGGCTTGGTGTTGTCAGCACCACACTCAGCTAGTGAGCAAACCGGCCATCCCTATAAAGGATCCGAACCTGTGGCCTTGGCGCTACCAGCGCCGCACTCTCCTGAGTGAGCCACGGGGCTGGCCCTTTATTTTTCCTTTTTAAAGATGACCGGTAAGGGGATCTTAACCCTTGGCTTGGTGTTGTCAGCACCACACTCAGCTAGTGAGCAAACCGGCCATCCCTATATAGGATCCGATCCCATGGCCTTGGTGTTATCAGCACCGCACTCTCCCAAGTGAGCCACAGGCCGGCCCATGGCACTGGCATTTTCTTACTGCATTTATGTTCTTACAGTGATGGTTTATGCAAAATTTCAGCTTTCTATCAACACATTCTATAATGAAACACTTAATTAGCAAACTCTTCTCCTGGCAGAGAGAGAAGACTCTGAGTTACCTGTATTAACAGGGGGTTGTGATGACAAATGATCCCCAAGCCCATTCTAGCCTCTTTACTAAAATCCTCTGCCAAGCATTTTAACTGAGCTGCTCAAAAGAAGACGTTTACAAATTAGAAGTTTTAGTTTGTTATCTTTCTCATGTTGGGGCCTGAGTATCCAGCGAGGGAAACCTTTTTTTTTTAAAAGATGACCGGTAAGGGGATCTTAACCCTTGACTTGGTGTTGTCAGCACCACGCTCAGCCAGTGAGTGAACCAGCCATCCCTACATGGGATTCGAACCCGTGGCCTTGGTGTTATCAGCACCGCACTCTCCCGAGTGAGCCACGGGCCGGCCCCTGCTTTCCAACCTTTGATACAGCTAGCTGAATAGCTTTATCCTCCTTTGAAAAAGGACAGCTTTTCTTGGGCTAGCCTGTAACATTATAGAGTCTTCGTGAGACAGAGTCCTGTAGATCTCAGAGTTTTAGTGGGGAGAGCCAGGGAGTTCCAAATTGGTTTAGTTCTCGAAAACGGACTAGATGTTTTTCTTTTTTTAAAAGATGACTGGATAGGGATGGCCAGTTCGCTCACTGGCTGAGCGTGGTGCGGACCACACCGTGCCGAGGGTTGGGATCCCCTTATCAGTCAAAAAAAAAAAAAAAAAAAGAAGCCTTTTGCAGCACATGTTGTAAGAGATCAGGGAGGAGGTACCATAGGGTTCCATCTAGAAACTGTTAATTTTCCTTTGGGAGAAAAGTCCATGAGAGGGTTCTTGTGTATGGGCCAGTTTGGGGCCAATCAATAGCATTCTCAAAACATTCTAAAACACAACTTGTACTGGCTGCCTTTAGCCTAAGCCAGCTTTCTAACAATCCTAGCCAGACAGTTTTTACCGTTTTTTTTTTTAGCAGCTTCCAGATTACACTACAACTAGCTTTGCCAAAAATTAACTCATTTGTATAGGGGAAAAAGTGCCCCTTCTCCCACTTTCCACAAGACATAAGACACTCAAAATCTACACTTTCTTCAACTTGCCCAGCATCAAATATTGCCTGTCTGGTATAAATGACTACTGGAGTCCACATACTATCTTTGGCCTGTCTCAGACCCATTAAAAAGTCTTTTTTTAAGTTAAAGAGACCAGAACAAACCGGCCATCCCTATATAGGGATCCAAACCTGTGGCTTTGGTGTTATCAGCACCGCACTCTCCCAAGTGAGCCATGGGTCAGCTCTATGGACTACATGTTTCTAAAGACAGGAAGCATAATAAAGATTAGACAAACGTGGGAGTCACAAAACCAGGGAGACCTTTGACATGGACTAGCAGTGCAACCCTGGACACATCGCTCACATTCTCTGAGCCTCATTCTTTTAAACAACAAAACAGAGCTAACACTTGCTTATGTCTACTTGAGATAACTGCTAAATAAGACAGCATGAAAATGTGCTACCCAATATAAGGTACTATTACTATGATTATTATTATTGGTTTTGCTTAAGACCAGCAATTGCCCATTTGATGAGTATTTTAATTTTCACTACATCCAGAATAAAATAAAAATCCTTTGCTTGGGGAAATGTAAATATATATTCTTTACCCTAACGACTTCAAAAGTTAGAGAAACCAAAAAGACTCCACAGAATTAAAAAACAAAACCCACAATCAAATACTTCTACATTCAGAAAATCAAGGGCTGGCTATATTTAGTCAAATTTAGGTATTGTATCAAAGAAGCACCCCTGGCCACTTACACCTGTAACAGCTGGCAACAACTATTCACAACAGTGTGGTGGAAAAGTTGGCTATAGTTAAGATAGTACTTGTACCTAAGTTTGTGGGCTTTTTTGAGTGTGTTTTTTCCTGGGGGGGGGGATTAAACTATTTTTCACAATTGCACAAGTAACATCATTGGAATAAAAATTACACTTTACGGGCTGGCCCCGTGGCTCACTTGGGAGCATGTGGCGCTGGGAGCGCTGAAGCCGCAGGTTCGGATCCTATATAGGGATGGCCAGCGCACTTACTGGCTGAGCGTGGTGCAGACAACACCTTGCCAGGGGTTGCGATCCCCTTACCGGTCAAACAAACAAAATTACACTTTACTATTCTTTTTTTTTTTTTTCTTTGTCTTTTTTATTGACTGGTAACGGGATCGCAACCCTCGGTGTCGCGCCCGTACCGGGGACCGGCAACGGGATCGCAACCCTCGGTGTTGCGCCCGCACCGCGCTCAGCCAGTGAGCGGGAACCAGTCTCCACATAG